CACACGTCTGACAGGCAGCTGCTTATCTGTAATGGGCGATGAGGCGTTAGCTTGTGAGCAGACTGAGGATCTGATAAGAGATTGAATTAGGCCACCAGCTCCCTGATGGAGTGTTAGTTTAGCTTCTGAACCATCAGCTTTGCGCTCCCTGCTGCCATAGTGTTCCTACTGAGAGAAGCATGCAGTAGGTCGGCAGGGAAAGGACGTATTTTTGAATAAGTTGAAAATCCTGTTTTTCCAGTTTCCAGCCTTCAGAAAAAAGTGAAATAATTTAATGATTTTCATTGCGTGTAGATTGCACACAAGTTGTTTTAGCATAATTTGCCGTGGAGAAATGTTGTCGGTGAAAGTGTGTTTTACTCTTTAACCCTTTTATACTCGCGAGCATGTGGGCCGATGCCGTTTTAGGCTCTGTGCTCTGAAAAAGTCTCGTTTTGAACACGTTGATGGGAGAATTCACCAGTTCTCAGGTTTTTTTAAATCTCTGAGCTTAACCAGTCATTTCTACACAGCCATGTCATGCTTCACAAGGATGTTGACCAAGTTGTTTCTGGCTTTGGATAATATAGTTTTGATAAATGGGACTTTATGTAAACTAGAAATCCCTGTTTACATTTGGTGATTTGGGTGTTCCCGTTAGAAGCTTCGAGAGGAGCCAGTTGAGGTGGCTCGGGCATCTGGTCAGGAGGCCTCCTGGACGCCTCCCTGGTGAGGTTTTCCGGGCACGTCCAACCGGGAGGAGACCTAAAGGTAGACCCAGGACACGGTGGAGGGACTATGTCTCTCACCTGGCCAGGGAACGCTTTGGGATACCCCCGGAGGAGCTGGCCCAAGTTGCTGGGGAGAGGGAAGTCTGGGCCTCTCGACTTAGGCTGCTGCCCCCGCGACCCGACGACTCCGGATAAGCGGAAGAAAATGGATGGATGGAAGTTAGAAGCCTTTAATGTGTTTCAGATCCCTTTGAGTACAGTTTCATGTCAGCTGAAGAGAATCGTGGAAGTGGAATAGGTAATGGTGTGATTTTGTAACGTAATCAGAGCCCGTGGGATGATTGGAAGGCCTACCCGATGTCAACAACAGCACATTCATCTTGTATAAACACAGCTTGCTGTTTTAACATCCTCTTCTTCATACAGAAAAAATACCGATCTCTCTGTCTTGTTCGCATTTTGGCAAACGGGCCAGTGGTTTTGGGGAAGATGCACATCTGTGAGAAGACAGTTGTAGGAAGCTGTGGTTGTTGCATGATAGCATGCATGCAGAGATGCCACATGAAATAAGCGGTCGTAGAAACTCAGCAGTTCTTTTTACCTTATTTGTTCCAAACTGCTGTGAAGCTTTGAGTTGGTTTGAAGGATCGTGTTGAGGCTCAAGAAGGAAGGTTATGACAGAATTGTTGCGTCATAGCTGCAGTGGAGCTCAGCACCTCCGGGTCTGAGGTTGTGATGACATATTGATAATATTGATAATTGTATCAACATTCTGTTGTGGTGAAGCCCTCCAGCCGGTGCACCATCTCCAGGAAGTAGCAGTGACCCACATCACAGCTGAGCTTCAGACGACCAGTTTTAGTCTTATTTTCTGATAGGTGGACATCTCGCCTCTGATTGGATAACAGCAACGCGACTCTACCGCTGACTCTGTGTGCTCTGCAATGTTGATGTTATATCTCCACAAATAACTCAAGCCTGGAGGAGCTTCTGCCGTGTGGTGAAGTTGCTAATGCTAACGATTAGCTTATAATAGTCAGGATGTCCTCTGCTGTTTCCTGGGCGCTAAACCAACAACAGCCTTCCCCGTCGTGAGTCCAGATGGATGAGTCCATGAATGTCAGGGTGACGTAGATCCGTCAGGCTTTTCTAATCCTAGAGTTTCACCGTCTGTTTTCTATCAGAGGCTGATGCAGGAGATGGCCGATTTATAATCAGAAATAATACTTAAAAATGGGTTTTCAGCGATCCACATCGTTGTGAAAACATCAGTAAGAAGTCCCATTCACTTGCAACAAGATACAAGGAGAAATGACTTTGAGCAATCTTTATTTAGCAGCTGATTACAACTCTTGTTCTTTCTGTGTGACTTCTTACTCCAGACAGTCTTCCACGACGAGTGCAAGTTCAGGGAGAGCTTGCTCCCAAACAACTACAATGCCTACGAGTCCCTGGTTTACAGAGGGTCCTACATCGCACTGAGCAAGCATGGCCGCGTGAAGAGGGGCAACAGAGCCACTACCGCCATGACTGTAACGCACTTCCTACCCCGAATATGACGAGGAAAAAAAAGAAACTGGCAATAACAAACCTATTTGCACACGTGGATTACTTCCCAGGTAACACGAACGCCACATACGTACGAACGAACCAACACAAAAGACTACGCAGACTGCAAAGAAACACAGCTACATCTGATAATATTTATTCTAACTTTATATGTATATTTGGGTAGCTGACTTTGTATTAGAAGTGACTGAAACGCCATTCTGTGCTGCTTTGATCAGTTTCATTGTTTTGTGATACGAAGGGGGACAGAAAAGCGACGATTGTCCCTTTGGGTTTTTATGGGTGCTTGTTGGATCGGGCGGAGCGCTTGCCCTGCCAGTGGATCACACTAATTCTCTTTAGGAAATAAAACTGGAAATGCTATTACCTCAAACAACCGAAACCCAACAAAAGCGTGTAGAAATCAGACAAATGTGCGCATGAACTTTTCACTCGAAGGAACGCCTGTTCACTGAAACGTTTTGTTGTCGTCCATCGAGGTGCTCGACGTCCTCGCTGATTGATTGTTTCTGTGACGGTCGGGGCAACTGGAGCACTTGTAAATTTGTTGGTGGTTTTTCTTGCGTCGTCATGAGGTGGCTGTGCCTTGAATTCCTTCTTACGGCCCCCTCACCAGTGCATGCCAGAAATGTGGGGCTCAAGTCAGAAATAGGAACCATACACAAGTCATCCCTCCCTAAGACACCGCGGGGGGACTTTAGCCCAATTCCTCGAGGGTCTGAGGTTTCTCTACTTTTATTCTCTTTAATTTTAGATCAGTGGAGTAGTAGAGACTCAATGCTGCACAGGACCCATTGGAGCCTCTTGGAAAGTTAAATTTAGACTCGATTTCCCCCCAACATCCCATCCACGAGGGCTTTGACAATCCCAGGTTTTATTTTCTAGCGTTTTGCAGTCGTTGGGCCAGACCGAGCGTGCGACTGCTTCCTGGATGTTTGGGTGCACATTTGGTTTACGAATCCATGTCAAATGTTTTGGGGATGCTTTTGTTGAACCCTTCCTGAGTCCCGGTAGACACGACACAGAGGAGCATTTCTGTCTGCTGCACGTTGTTTTGTCTACTCCAAACAGACCCCTCTGTTCTGTCAAGCCTAAACAATTTCTTCATGCAGACTCCTAATTTATTTATTTATACTTTTTGCCTGAAAACTGCAATATGTTTGACTGTTTGATGATTTCTGGCACTTAAAGTAGCACATTTATGCAGAAATGAGTGACATTAAAGAGTATGCTGCTGATCGGTCGGTTCACTGTAAATACGACGGTACTTTTGGGTGATTTAGGGTAACATAAATGTTCCAGCTTGGCCTCCAGAGAGCTGGAACTGCAACACAGTTCATGACTTTACTGAGAAGAACTTACACTGACAATGTGGATTATTTATCTCAACATTTGAAGCTGTTTATGCATTGATTAGGTTGGTCATTATTGCTTTCTTAGCAAAGAAAAGTAGAATTGTTTTTCTTCAGCCTTTATTTATGCAGCACAACGTACTTGAATTCATGAAATGCTCACACTCCTCTCAGATGCTGTCATTTCTGCAACGGAAGCAAACGGCGAATACGAGCAAACCCAGCGGAGGACAAGGAGGACTTACAAAGCGCTCTGTACGTGGCTCTGATTGTTTGTTTAACTTGCTGAAGACGCGTAAACATTCGACTAAAATGCCTGAGTGTCAGATTTGTGGGCTGACTGGTTGATGTCGGGTCGGACGGTCAGCGTAGGGCCTTGAGAATGTTGTGCATCTGAGCCATTTTCATCCCAAGGTCAGGGATTTGGGTGTCCCGTCCTCTTGTGTTTCTCATGTTGACATTTTAGTTCTCTTCTTTTATTTATTAGGCTACGCTAAGCTCAGCACCTGTTGGGCTGTTTCTTGGAAAAGACATGATTGGCTGCATAAGTACCGCTGACTTTTCAACTCATGGCGAGTCTCTAAAAAGCTGCAACAAGGTGCATTTATTTGGATTTTCTACCAGCTCAAGGGCAGCTTGGTGAAATGAGACAGCAAAAGTAGCAAAACTTTTGTAGTTGCGTCATTTTTTAGCTCTGGTCTCGCTCTGGGGGTGGCTCCGAAGTGGGTTTCATGTTTGCAGCAGTTATCGTCTTACTTATAAGGGAGTACCAGGGCCACTGGAAAGAAAACAAATCTAGAGGCGAGGGTTAAGAGCAAAGATGAAAAGGCTCAGAAATCAAAGAAAAAAGTCAAAGTATTTCTAGAAGTAAGCCAAAATCCGGTAACGGAAGTTTCTAGAAAAAAGTTTGTGTCCAGAAAACTATTCAACATACTAATTTACATATAAAGTTGACATTTAAAGAAAAGAGTTTGAAGAACAAAGTTAGTTTTTTTTTTACTTTCAGAAAAAACATCAACATACTAAAACAAATTAGAAACGTAGAGAAAACAAATTAAAAGTTAGCTTTTTAAAATGATTTTTGTTGTTCTTTAGTATAACTGAAACCATTTTTATAAGTTTTGAACATTCTCAGGTGGTACATGTGATTTAGACTCTTATTGTGAAAGATTATAGGAAGTTCCACAGAGCTTTGCTGTGGAAATCTTCAGGGAAATGCCACTCTGTTCCGTTTACCCAGTAAAAACCCACCTTCAGTTTTTATAACAATAAAAAGAGAACCGATAAGAGAACAGAACGGAGTTCAGTTCATCAGCTGATCCTAAAAAGGTTCATTTTCGACTTCGTCCTTATTGGGTTTTCTTCTCAGTGGCACCGACTCACCATCGTACTGAATAACCTCAGTTTGGAGAAAAAGATGACTTCTGACTAGAATTAGTCTTTCGCCAAGCCCCGCCTCCCTTAGTTACTGTTGCTAACTCCGACAAACAAGTGGTCAAACACTGACCGGCGCGGCAGATTGCCACGATGAAAAGAAGTAGACAGATGTGTGTCGGCGACATCTTTTGGAGCGATTCCACCGTAACATCATCCAGATCGAGACAAAAAGGGTTCCAGTAGGCAGTGAAGGGATAAATTCAAAATAAGAAAATACGCATCGAAGGAGACACGACTACTACAGAGGCTATTGCTAACCAGTCACAAGCTAACGTGTGTGTGTGTGTGTGTGTGTGTGTGTACACACACATGTTTTGTCCATGAGCATCATCACCTTTGAATTCATTTACAGTAACAAATAACTGTAAGATGTTTACATCCTTACGTAAACTTTTAGGCAACTTTCGACAGCCTCCAAGCTTGTTGTTAGCTGAGTCAGGACCTAGCACAGCTTTTACGGGATTGGGGAACTCAGGTGGGGTTTCCGTTGATAAAATGCTTCACGAAAGATAAAAACTAAATTAGTTATTGTTGCTTGTTGGGGTGTTGCGTACAACTTTGTTTTAAACTGACAAAAATTAAGGTTGTGGAGCTTAGAGACCCAACACACAGCAGCTAATGTAGCTAGCGTTAGCTAACATGTTAACCAATGTCTAAAGCTAAAGGGCTCGTTAAAGAGCAAGTCACCCCCTGCCAGAATCTTATTCACTCCCACTTCCTGTTTGAAAAATGCAACAAATGCTGTTGCCTGGCAGACTGAAAGGGTGGAGCCGCTAACAAATACACACACAGGCTCACAATGACATTGTGACGTCATAAGGCACATCTTAGCCGATAGTTATGGCAGATTTAACTTCAAATGCAGTGCAGAGTTTTTACGTGAATAGGGCACAACGCTAACTGTTTTAGGCAGAAACTAAGATGCACCAGAGTGCCAAATTATCCACTACACGTGTCTAAACACTCATTTATATAGTTTATCAGCAAAATAAGTTGATCTGGGGGTGACTTGCCCTTTAAGCTGAACTTAGTAGACTAATGTTCTGGCAATGACTCCATGGTAATCGCAACGTTGGGCCATTGTGTTTTCTTGGGTCTAGATCGGGCGTGGGGAACCCTGGTCCTCGAGGGCCGGTATCCTGCACGTCTTTGCCCCAACACTTCTGATTCAGTGGTTGATTCACCTGTTCAGCAGCTCATCAGGCTCTGCAGGAGCCTGTTAATCACCTGCTGATTGAAATCAGGTGTGTTGAAGCAGGGTTGAAACTAAAATATGCTGGATAGCGGCCCTCGATGGACCAGGGTTCCCCACCCTGGTCTAGATAGTAGATATAGACAACACTGTAGTTAGTTAGACATTACTCTTACCTTTGAGGAGACGCATGCTTTGTGATGTCATAAATGTTTAACTGGGAGTGGGGCCGTCCGAACAGTTAGATCCGTATCGGGCGCCGCTCACGTCGTTTTCGCTTTGATAGCGAATGGAACACAACTCCTCCAGACAACCTCTCTGGGTATCGACTGTCCGACGTACAGACGCCGCGGACGCAATGCTATCCATCTAGATTAAAGTTGTCGGACCTCCTCACAGTAACTGTTGCTGTGATGTGGACAATGGCCGCTTTGGGGTGGCGAAAGGTCAATTACAAGCTAACAGCCATTTAGGAACAACAACTTTCATCTCTAAAGCGTTATAAAGCGTTTAAACCTGAGCGCTACACCACAACCTCTGCATTAAAGAGATATGAAATTCTGACCCGATGTTTCACTGATTTTCCATTAATTCAGCAGCAAATGATGGAATTTCAATAAAGCGTAGGGTAGTGTCCTTAAACATGGCTGTAGTTTGTCTGTTCCACTGAGAGACTTGGTGCGTTTAAGCTCTGGCGTCTGTGCAGAGCGTTACGTGCTGTAAGAGAAGTCACTTGTGTGTGAGCAGCGTTTCATCTAGGTGAGCACAAAAGCGTCGTGCTCTGCTTCTGCAACGGTACGAGACAAACGCCGTCTGAACAGTTCATCTTGAGTCAGGAATTACACGACATTGTCTCACTGTGCGAGCTGATGCACCGTTTCCCTCTCGGAGAGTGGCGAAACCAGCAGCCAGCTAAGAAACTACAGATGGATGTTTGTTGAAGGGAAAGCACAAACTGGTTTGAGCTGGTTTGTAGCCAGATGAAAATGATCGAATGCTTCCAAGTTAAAAAAAAAAAAAACAGAGGCTGGGGTTAAATCCTCTCATGGACTGAATACTGTGATGAAAAACTTCAAGGATGTCATGCATGTTGTTAGGAACGTTCACACCGCGGATCAGAGCTTTTTCCGGGTCATTTTAATAATTTATCAAACAAAAAGGTGCACATTTTTAATGGAGTGCAATTTTTTTTATGCAGGAAAAGATTTTCTCTTTCTCCAAAACAAGCTAACATGCAAGATTTTACGTCTTCTTTTGATGAGTTCATTCAGTTTGTTTTCTGTTTCATCATCAGAGGATGCTGTCAGCACTACAGTAGTGAGTAGCATGGGAGTGGGGATGTTTTACTGGAGAGGACTTGGGTTGTGCTCACACCAGAAGCATCTGCAAGTTGCTCCCAATCCCTCAGCCTTTTGCATGATGCTGTTGTGAAGCAGAAAAGGGTGCAGCAGTGGCTAGGATGTGAGTGGTGAGAAAATATGGCTTCCTTAATTCCTCGTTATGCATGTAGAGTTCTGAATGGGCAGGTACGTCTCACCCTTTTGATTAAAGATCCATTGTCTGGATTTAGCCGCTGTGCTGGTGTAAAAATGTGTTGGTTTGCAGGGAACCGGAGGTCTGTGGGCAGATCTGAGGTCAGATGTGTGTGTTTGAGCGTGTTTCCTTGTGTGCCGGCAGCCTTTGTGTTTCTCTCTCCGTTTTTCTATTCCTGCACTGAGGGGAGAGTGCTTCCTCTGAGTCCCCCTCCTCTTTTTTAACATATACCTCACCTTCTGCCTTAGTTCCGATTATTGAAATGATTGTAAATTAGTTTGAAACAGACTTCTCCAATCATTTGTTTCTGAAAAAATATGACAAGTAAGAAAAATACTATATTACAAATGGTTTTCCTTTTATTTTTGTACGTATGTGCTGTGCACAGCAGTCAAGTGTATTCCTGAGATGACAATAAAAGATGTTTTATAAAATATTTTTGACTGATTTCTTTGAAGTTGTTTTATTGTATTTAGACTATATATAGTGCTGGGAATCAAACCTTCAACCTTCTGATAGCAAGCCCCTCCACTCAACATCTGCACAATCTAATATGGCAGCATAGAGCGCCCTCTGCTGGTGAATGTTTTTAGGCATTAAATTAAAGGATTCTTTTTAAATTTAATATTTATTTGTTTCAGTTCTCTAAAATTCAAGTCCTCTTGATTATTGTAAACCATTTTGTTTTATTGAGAGCATTTTATAATTCTGATTTTACATTTTTAAAAATTGAAAATAGTGTTATGAAGAAATAGTCCGGATTTTTCTCCGGAGACCAGTGTCTTTTTAATTTCCCTTTAAAATGAAAGATTAGCAGGACACCTTGAAACATGTAAAACAATCTTTTGAACATTTAGTAACTCAAAACATGTAAAAATCAAGATTTTTCCCCTCATATTAAAACGATAAAGTCAAAAATGAACTGGCTGTAAATAATAGCTGATCAAATTTGAACCAAAAGAAATAGTGCAAGAAGACAACATTTTCATACGGACACCAAGGGTCTGGGCAGGTTTAAATTAGGAAATAGAAGATTTGGATGGAAGTTGATGCAGAACCTCCATCATTCCTATAAATGCTGGTTTGAGGAGGTAAAATGAGTAAAGCAGGAAGTAGAAACTTGATGAGGGGCCGTCCAGGCCTTCATTAATTCTGCTACTCTCACACATGTTCTCCTCACACGCATACATATTCTTTGCATTCACACACATTGCAGTTCAGTCAGTTACTTTAGATACAACAGCTTTTCAATTTGTTTCAAAATATAACTTATAGCAAAATATGCATTAGAGTTTATTTTTTAGTGACAACATGAGAATATTTGCCTAAGCATCTCTTCAGATAAATGCAGCAAGCTTTGTTTCCAGCTAAAGCTAAATTATCAAAAAAAAAGCTGTACTTGCTAACATTTAGTCTAAGCAGGGGCGGTTCAAAACTTGCTGTCAGGGAGGCACTGGCCCACCCTACTTTAACTTACTATGTAATTACCATGTAAGTACTTAGTAATTAGGGGATTGCAAAAGGAAGTGTTATCCAAAATTCTATTAAAAAACACAAGTCCAATAGAACTTTTGGCTAATTACATAGTAAGTGAACGTGTGTTATTGTGCAATTAAAGTGTATAATTGTAATAAAGTGTCCTTATTGTGTAAAGCAGTATTTACTGGGAATGATGAATAAAATAAAGACTATAATTGAACCAGAGTTACATGGTAATAACTGTTTAAGAACTCAGAAACAATAATGCACTTGAACTTCCTATGTAATTACCATGTAAGTACTTAGTAATTAGGGGACTGTAAAAGGAAGCGTTACCAAATTTAGTTTTTATTTTGTAAGTTGGGGGTGAAAAACATTCATGTTGCATAACTCTTCTTATCTAATGATCCTCCTGACTGAATGAAAAACAAAAAGTCAGATCCTGGATGGATTCCATCTCTACGACCTAAAGCAGGTAAGCTCGGAGTCGTTTTGGTAAATGAGTTAGCCGGTTTATCGACCCTCTGTTTAAACAGACCCGTTGGACTTTCTCCTCGTCTACACTTCGTCCTCACACCATCCTGAACATTCGAGCCTTTGGAGAGCAACCCACCCCCGCTGACCATGCAACGGGCTTTCCTCTCGCTCATCCTGACTGCTGCACACATTTCTGTGATGGTGGACTGTAGACCGAGGCACCAACGTCCACAGCTACAACACAAGATGGGTGGATTCAGACCTGCGGCACATGCAGAGATGTCTGCTGGTGCGGGGCGTTTCTCCTCCGAGGACAACGGATCCGTGAGAAACGGTTTTCACACGGGCCGTCCGGGTGAGTCCGTTAGTGTATAAACCGAGAGGCTGATGTTTAGTTTTCCTGTCTAACACAACTTTGACCAACAAAATCCATTATTCATCATAAATAACTTTCAGATTTTTTGTAAAAAGGACTTGAATATTCACATGTAAAGCACATTCATCATATCTATCATCAAAACTAGGCTGTGAAGTTTGTAAAGTGAGATTTCTCACAGTTTTAAACACTGATGCATTGTTTACGCTGATTTTCAGTCGTCCTGCCCACATTAGACGCCCCAGACACATCTGGGTCAGTCTCTGACGTGAGGAGGAAGGGATTCCTCTGCATAGGAGAGCTTTATAAGTCTGTGAGTATCATTTAGATCTACTTTAAGAGATTCATGGACTGAGGCCATAACGGTCAGTAAACTGTTTGTTTTTCTTCCTGACAGAGGCAACGGGGCAGGAAGGATTGTCTCTTCCAGCACATCTGGTTGCAGCTGGCAAACCAACATGTGTTTTATTCTACAAGTGGAAACCAGCTGATGGAACTGGGTGGAGGTGACCTACGTCTCCTGCTGGAAAGGCTCCTTCATCCCAGGAGGCAGAAGAGAAGTGAGGTGGTGAACCCAGCTGATCCTCTGAAATCAGAATCACATCCTGTGAAGGACAATGATCAGAGCCAGCCTGAACAGGAACAGACGGGCGCCGTGTCCAAAGAAACCATCTCATCTTGTGACGACCCTCTGAGGGTCTTAAGGTCCAACGGGCCTGGCAGTCCTGTCAAAACCAACATTGCAGACCAGGCAGAACAATAGAAAGACAGAAGGAAAGAAAGAGAACTTATGGGGTTGTCAAGTAAAAAAGGGATGAAAGTGAGTGAAGGCATCCTGGGGTGAACCCTCCCAGGCGGTAAAGGAGGCCCTGACGGATCTGGGAGAGCTAACCAAACCTCATCTCTGTACCATCTGACCACAGTGGTGCGTTCAGGGCCTCTGTTTGACTAGCAGGTGGAAGATAAGTTTGAAAACATTCAACAAAAAAGTTGTCCTGCAGTCCTTTAACCTCCATTGTCTGTTAAAATGTAATCCATCAAAGCAGACGAGGCAATGTTTGTTTCCCAAAAGTGAAAATGTGTAATCTATTAGTAACTGAGAAGTAACTTATCATTGGGTACGGTTAAAAAAATTAATTCAAGGAAAAAAAGAAAAGAAAATCTTTTTATGGGAAAATGATCAGGTGCTGGACACCAAAAGTCACATCCATCCATCCATCCATCCATCCATCCATCCATCCATTTTCATCCGCTTATCTGGAGTCGGGTCGCGGGGGCAGCAGCCTAAGCCGAGAGGCCCAGACTTCCCTCTCCCCAGCCACTTGGGCCAGCTCCTCCGGGGGAATCCCAAGGCGTTCCCTGGTCAGGTGAGAGACATAGTCCCTCCACCGTGTCCTGGGTCTTCCCTTGGGTCTCCTCCTAGCTGGGAGTGCCTGGAAAACCTCACCAGGGAGGCGTCCTGACCAGATGCCCGAGCCACCTCAACTGACCAAAAGTCACAGCAATGACAAATATTTATTTATTAAGGCGTGTTTCATGAATTCTACTCTAGCTTGAAGTTATCTTCACATTTTACGATGTGTTCTTACTGTGAAATAAAATAATGAATGGGAAATTTAGAGTTGAACAAATTTTTCATTTTACTTTGAGGAATACACATCCAGGTCCGTAAAAACACCAATCCTACTTCCATTAAAATCAAACAGGACAAGTCCTGATGAGTCACATGACTTCATGCACAGCTGGTTAAATACTGGAGACCGATTCAGATGATCAGTGATGCAGAAATGAGCTTTTTCTACAAGTAATAGTTGTGTTGAATGTGCGTCACATATCCTGTGTGTTGCACAGAGCATCAACATTTGAGAACAATATTCTTGTTCATACTGTTATGTTATCAGCCTCTGTATGCAAAGGTGTAAGCAGGGATATCATTTTAAACATGGGTGTCACTCACCAAGCACCAGCGGTGATTTAGGGTGAAGGATGGGTGCTGTGAGAACTGTGAGGCGTCAGCATTGTCAGCTGCAGCCTCGTTTTCCTCCTTTTGTTTACTACCAAAACTGGGGAGAGCCAGCAGCAATAAACCAAAAGACTCTTTCTTAGCATCAACTGCCCAATTGAAGACGTGATCGTGACGTCACCACCGACGTGGCCACCGGCGGTGTAAACAGCGCGCTCCGTCTCGTTCTGGCGGCTTAAATTAATCTATTTTTCATTTGGTTGGTTATATTACACAACCATGATAAATCTTGGCTGTGTTGTGGGGTGCAACCAAACCTCCATAATTCTGTAATGAAATTGAAGCCAACAAGGAAGTGGCAAAAACTGCAGTTCAACCCTTATCCACTAGGGGCTGCTACCAGAAGTGAGCTAATCCATGGTTTGTTGCTAAAGCACCACTTAAAAAAAAACCCATCTTAGCAGTTATTAAAATGTCCACTAGGTGGCAGCACAAGCAAAACTAAACCTGTTCCCATCAGTAAAAATGATTTAGTTCAGCCTGCACCAGCATGCTGAGTGTTAGGAGCCTGTTGGTGAGGTCACCTCAGGGGCGTCGTTGCAACTCTTCCTGCAGGTAGCGTGGTGCCAGTCAGTCAGAATTAGTTTCTAAAAATGTTGCCTCATCACTCTGATGGCTGTGAAAAAACACAAATCGACAAAAGTCACTGGACAGTGTCTGTTTATGGTAAAAACTATAAACAGAACAAACCCCTTTCTGTGATTTAAATGTTTTGTTTCTGTTGTTACGACCAAGGGTCACAAGTTGTTTAATTCGGGGCTTTGTGTGTTGTTCTGATGTTTCTTAGTGCAGGTGCCCACATGTGATTGGTGAACCAGTGGCCTGAGGAGCGTCCTGATTGGATTATAATCAAGTCATCAAAGAGGTGTTGTATATCACAATGGCTGTTGGCAGGAAGGATCTCCAGTAGCGGTCAGTGTTGCAGCCAGACTGAAGAAGCCTCTGACTGAAGACACTCTTCTGTTGTCGGACAGTCTTGTGAAGAGAACGCTCAGGGTTGTCCATCATGTTCTTGATTCTCTGGAGAATCCTTCTTTGCATGATCTCCTCCAGCGGTTCCACAGTCGTCCCCAGAACAGAACCAGCCTTTGTTATTAGGCTGTTGAGCCTTTTCAGGTCCCTGCTTCTGATGCTGCTACCCCAACAGACGATGGCTGAAGAGATTACACTCTCAACAACAGACTTGTAGAAGATCTGCAGCATCTTGCTACAGACACTGAAGGACCTAAGCGTCCTCAAGAAGTGCAGTCTGCTGTGTCCCTTCTTGTAAACGGCTTCGCTGTTCTTTCTCCAGTCCAGTCTGTTGTCCAGGTGAACTCCAAGGTGTTTGTATTCCTCAACCACCTCCACTTCTTCTCCCATGATGGAAACAGTGTTTGACTCCACCCTGTTTCTTCTGAAGTCTAAAATCATCTCCTTTGTTTTGTTCTCGTTCAAGGTCAGATGATTGTTTCCACACCATGCCACAAAGCGCTCCACCAGCTCTCTGTACTCAGCTTCCTGTCCATCTCTGATACACCCGACAACTGCAGAGTCATCTGAGTATTTCTGTAGATGACAGGTCTCTGATTTGTACTGGAAGTCTGAGGTGTACAGGGTGAAAAGGAATGGTGAGAGTACAGTGCCCTGTGGTGCTCCAATGTTACTGATCGCCTGGTTTGATGTGCAGTTCTTCAGTCTCACAAACTGTGGTCTGTTTGTCAGGTAGTCTTTAAGCCAGGCGATAGTTGAGGCCCCCACCTGTGTCTTCTGGAGTTTCTGGCAAAGTTCATCAGGCTGGATTGTCTTAAATGCACTGGAGACATCAAAGAACATGACCCTGACAGTGCTGCCTGCTTTGTCCAGATGGCAGTGGGTTGGTTGAAGCAGCTGGATGATGGCATCTTCAACTCCATCTCCATGGCGATAAGCAAACTGCAGCAGGTCCTGATATGTTCTAGTTTGCTTATTCAGGTGGACCAACAGGAGTCTCTCCAGGACCTTCATGATGTGAGATGTCAGGGCAACCGGTCTGTAGTCGTCATTGACTGATGGGCGAGTTTTCTTTGGAACTGGAACAAGGCAGGATGTCTTCTACAGGACTGGAACCTTCTCCTGGGCCAGGCTGAGGTTGAAGAGGTGCTGCAGAATCCCACAGAGCTGCTCTGCACAGGCCTTCAGTACTCTGGGGCTGACACCATCTGGACCCGCAGCCTTGTTCCTGTTCAGTCTCTCCAGCTGCCTCTTCACCTGACTTCTAGAGACAGATAGGTGGGAGGGGGAGGTAAATGGGGCAGCAGCATCTCCTGACTTGGTTGAAGACAGATTTATAGAACCAGAAGAGTCCATGACTGCGTTAGAGGACAAATGAGCTGGCATGTGACAGGAAAATGTTGGATCAGAGGAGGATGGGATGTCTGATTGGCTGGGGACAGGCGAGGAGGATGCTGGGTTTGTTCCTGAACTGAACCTATTGAAGAACTTGTTCAGTTCATTGGCTGTGTCCGAGCTGCCATCTGTGCAATCCTTCCTCTGCTTGAAGCCTGTGATCTTCTTCATCCCTGACCAGACATCTCTGATATTGTTCCTCTGTAGTTGGTTCTCCAGCTTCTTCCTGTAGGCCTCCTTGCTGTCTCTGATCTTGATCTTCAGTTGCTTCTGTATACTCCTCAGTAATTCCCTGTCTCCCTCCTTGAAGGCTCTTTTTTTCCTCATTTAGCAGATTCTTCAGTTCACTGGTGATCCAGGGCTTGTTATTAGCGAAGCATCTCAGTGTTCTGATGAGTATGATGTTGTCCACACAGAAGTTTATATAGTCAGTGACACATCCAGTCATGGCATTAATGTCCTCTTCATATCCGTGGCAGAGAGTCATCCAATCTGTGGTCTCAAAACAACCCTGCAGGGCTTCTTCAGCATCCTGTGACCATTTTCTCACAATTCTTCTTGTCACATATGTAGGTTGCAGATCATATTTTTATACAATTACTCCTATTTTAGCGTTCCTGCTCTGTTGCTTTTCTAACTGCATTGTTGGTTCTTTTTTAAAACACAGATAAAGTTTCTCTTTAAATTGCTGATGTTTCATTCACGGCTACAAACATCCTCAGAGCTGACACTGATGGTGGCGTCACTTCCTACTCCGTTTATTCGCGGGCAGCAGAGGACGTTGTCGCCCTCTGCTGCCTGCCCTCCCCTCCCCTCTCCGATGATGCAGTCCCATGCGCGCTTCAATGTGTAGACCCCATCGTCTCTGTTCATGGTCCCACATCCACGTCTCCTTATCCACGGATCCGTGAGCAGCAGAGGACGTTGCTGCCCGGGGATAAATGGAGTAGGAAGTGATGCAACCATTAGCGTCAGCTCTGAGGAAGTTTGCAGCCGTGAAGAAAACTGTCAGCAAGGTAAAGAGAAATTTTTCTGTGTTTTAAAAACGAACCAACAATGCAGTTAGAAAAGCAACTCAGCAAGAACGTACCAAAGAGGTTCAGAGTGCTGCTCTGCTTACCTTCAGATCTATAAAACATGAGATATTAATGTCTGTCCTCTCTGCCTGCTGTCAGATGGAACATGAGAATAGAAGAGAATAGAATGCCTTTACAAGTACAACAAAATAAAACAGTGATGCCATCTTCTATGGTGCATAAAAATTATAACTCAAACTAAACTACCGATGGCCATCTCAGAACAAAAACAGATCTTCTCTAGTTGAGATGGTTCAGTGCAGTTAGAATGAGCTGCACAGACAAAGGAAGTTAAAAACGTGTCTTATGAAGATTCGTTGATCCTCTACCACTCTGATCTTTACAGATGGAGACTACTGATGTAGAGGAAATTGTGTAGATTAAAACTAAGCAATTGTTGTTCTGTTTGAAAATCTCTATTTCAGAATGAAGATGATTTGAGATATTTGCATCTTTACGTGATAAGTTAGAATCTATCAGGGAAAAACCACTAATGAAAACACAGTGATATGAAATGATATTTGCATCCTCTGAATGAGGTTCTGGTCTGCTCCCCGAAAAACTGTGTGTGAAGTTTTCTTCTCCATTTAAACAACTCTTCCATTTAATATAAACAGTGGTGCGAGCCCCCCCCCCCCCGCTTCATAAAAAATGGTTATTTGAGGGGGGAGGGGGTTATTTTGGGGGGAAAGACCCATCACTGTCATGAAAAACAATAATGTGAGATGTTTGAATGCTTTGGCAGACCTCAACCTTTGAAAAAGTAATGTGAGAAGATGTTTGCATCTTTAAAAGAACTAACTAGTTTCCTGAAAAACTGTGTGAGATGATCTTTTCATCTCCCTTTGAAAAGCTCTTCCTTTTAATCAAAAACAGTGATGGGAGGTGGTATTTTATTTTGTTTTTTACTTTTGGAGAATTCACCTGTTTTGGTAAAAAGAGTGACAATGTGCTGTTTGACTCTCTCTTGGTAGTTTTCATCCATTTGGTGAAAAACAGTGTTGTGAATTCAGACGGGGTTGTCACCTTCAAATCAGCCAATGAGTATGCTCTGAAGAAAGGCTCCCTGACTCTTTGACATCAGAAACTTTATTTAAGAGTCCGCATCAGTACAGGTTTGATGCATCAGGAACCCGGAGGAAATTACCAAAAGAAAATCCCCCGAACAACTTCTTTTATTGACTTTGGGGTACGTTTTCCACTCCCATTTAAGGACGGGAAAGAATATATATCACTTTATTTAAATTATCAAACCATTTTCAAGCAGAACTTCATGAGAATCAGGAGAGTTTTATAGGCATCTGTGTGAAAATCAAAACATTAGGAAGTTGCCGTGGTATTTGTTGCAAGAAAAGATAAATGATTAGTAAAAATAAGAATTAAGAAATAAACAATGAAATGATAATATAGGGAAGGAATAATTAGAGAAGCAGCTACTCTATGCAGGCCAGTGTAGGCAGTGATCAGGGCAGATCAGTTCAGGTGCAAACACAACACAGGGTCAGGTGACTGAAACAAAGCAGCTGGAATGGGCCGGTCTACGACTGACGTTCATGAGTCCGAACCGCAGAGGGGAACATTCTGCTTTTGTGGCGAGAGGTTCTGGTCTGAATGGATCGGAGCCCAATACCTGATACTAAACAATATCCAACATATTTCTCACAATGAGCTTCAACTTCAATATCTAAGCTTTCACAACCATCAAACACCCAAAAACTGGGTGAAGGAAATAGAGACTTTGTGTTGGTGTGCATAACGATCGTGGTTGAGTCCTGGGAAAAGCTCTTCCAATGTCAGAGACGTGATGTGAATTTGTCACGGCATGAAATGCTCAATAATACAGGAGAATGACGTCTGCTAGAGTAGCTCAACGGTGAAAGGATTGGTTTGGTGAGGAGAGGAGCCAAGGTTCAAGCTCACCAAAAACAGAGCCAGTGTTTTAGACTTGATCTGAATTCTTCAAAACATCAAATGCTCTAAAATGGAAATAATCTGTGTCTGCCGGAAGAGCTCAGCAGTTAAAACATTTGGTTCTTGTGCAGAAGTAGCAAGGTTCAATCCTGGAAAATACAATTCCAATGTTTTAGACATGATGTGAATTAATCACAACATCAAATTCTCTAAAATACAAGTAGTCAGTGTCTGCTAGAGTAGCTCAGTCACTAAAACACTAGACTGGAGAGCAGAAGGTTCATGGTTCAATTCCAGGCTTCTGCAAGAAGTGTAACTGACATTGTAGAAATAGGCAGTTCAAAATGCAGACACCATAAAGTAAAGGGGTAGGAAGAAAGACAGGTAGATAACTAATTAAGTAAAAAGGTAAACTGGGAAGTAGGAAGATAATTTGGTAGTGAAGAAGCAGGAAAGGCACTTAGTAGTTAAGCAGGAAGACTTGTAATTGTAGGATGATAGCTTGGTAGGCAGACCAATAAATAGAGGAAACTATGTTAATTACCAAGTAAAAGTTAGGTGAGGGTCCTTAATATAACGTAGAGAGGAGAAAGTGGAGCTCTAGACAGTAAAGAGTGGAGGGGAGTAGAAATAAAGTCCCCAAAGAGTAGAGGGAGGGGCAAAGTAGGGCCTTGGAGAAAGCAAGGGCATAGTTGGGACAGTGGGAAATGAGCCACCAGAGAGGCGGACAGGTGAATAGTAACTGTAGAACAAAAAGGAACCCCAGCAGAGGAAGGAGAATGTAGAGAGGGACTTTGGCAGAACAGTACCTGGAGAAGGGTAAATATATTCTCAGACAGCTCTACTGTATTGCCAGCCAGGGAGAGGGACAGTGGTACCAGAGAAAGGGTTTAAGTTTTCTCTGCACATTATATTTTCACAATTGCCCCACCTTTCCTCCTCACACTTTATACATTTACTGTCCTCTTTTATCTCTCTTCATCCAGCCTTTACATTAGAGACCCTCTTCTACCCTTGCACTAGATCACCTACCTACAGTATCTTCCTTTGTACCTAACTATTTAGCTACCAAGCTATCATCATCATGCTAGTCACTTATTTTCCTACCTGCTAGCTGCCATTCTTGCTTCTCTACCAAGATATCTTCCTCCTACTTCCTACTTTCCAATCTACCTTTTTACTTACTTAGCTGTCTACCTTCCTACCTGATTAATCTGTCTGCAGTTTATATCAACTATTTCTGCTATGTGAGTTACACTTCTTGCAGACTTCTGGAATTGAACCCTGAACTTTCTGCTCTCCAGTCTGATGTTTTAGAGACTGAGCTATTCTGGCAGACACTAACAACTTGTAGTTTAGAGCATTTGATGTTGTGAAGAATTGCCATCAGGTCTAAAACAGTGTTAAATGTTTCTAGTGGGATTGAACCGTGGTCCTACTGAACACCAAACCAACCATTTAAGCACTGAGCTACTCCAGCAGATAGTGTTCAGGTGTATTTTAGAGCATTTGATGTTGTGAACGGTTTCTGGTGGGACTGAATCTTGAACCTACAGCACAACAAACCCCATCCTTAAGCACAGAGCTACTCTAGCAGATGCTGTTCCAGTGTAAAATAATAGAAATCTCATCTAGAGGTGGCTCATGTCCACAATATGATCAGTAATTATTTCTTGTTCAGTGAAAAAAAATCGATCACGTTAACTCATTCACTGCCAGCCGTTTCCTGATCAGAAAAGGCCTTCGCTGCCAGCGTTTTTCAGCGTTTTCACTGTTTTTTAAGTCACAGAACGTTGTGCTCTGTGATGACGTCAATGCCAAAACTAACAAAACAAAGGGTAGACTCACCTCTTGCATCAGGAAGAATCCGCGCGTTTCGAGCGTTATCCATTCCCGCTGCTAGGGGTGGGCAATATAAACGATATAAGGTAGAAATGATATAAAATTGGGTAAAGATAGAGTTTTTGGCTATATCGCAATACCGCGATAACACATGACGTCACTAAGATGTGCACCCTGCTGGCATTGGGGCAACAGAATGGCAGTGACTGCAAGTATGGAGTGGGCGGAGGAGGAGGCCTATATGCCACATGAGGATATTTAAAAGCATGTCATTTTGATATAGAATAGAATAGACTTTATTGTAATTGCTCATGGCAATTAAATTACAGATGGTCCGCCATCAACAGTGCAATAAATGTGAAAACCATAAAGGACTAAAAACAATTTAAAAACATTCAGCAACAAAACAGATGAGTCCACATTACTGACGGGGATGTGGGGGGTTGAATGGTGCTGTTGTGTTGAATGTTCTGATGGCCCAAGGGAAGAAGCTGTTGGAAAGTCTGGTGGTAAGTGATTTAACTGACCTTCAGCAGCGCCCTGAGGGCAACAGTTCAATCAGGCAGTGGGCAGGGTGGGTGGGGTCACGGAGGAGAGCAGCGGTTCTCTTCAGGCAGCGGGTTCTGGAGATGGCCTCCAGGGATGGCAGGGTGCAGCCAATAATCCTCTGGGCAGTGTTTATTGTCCTCTGAACAACCTTCCTGTCCTCAGCAGTGGAGCCTGCATACCACACACTCAGGGAGTAGGTGAAGGTGCTCTCCACGGAGCAGTGGTAGAAAGCCAGCAGCAGTTTCTGATCCAGGCCACACCTTCTCAAGACCCGGAGAAAGTGCAGCCGCTGCTGAGCCTTTTTCACCAGAGCTCTGGTGTTGGCAGACCAGGACAGGTCAGCAGAGATGATGGTGCCGAGGAACCTGATGGAGGGGACACGGTCCACACGCTCTCCATTTATGAGGAGAGGGGCGTGTGTGTGACGGTGTCTTCTGAAATCCAGAATGAGCTCTTTTGTTTTTTGTATATTCAGAGTGAGGTTGTTATCTGAGCACCACCTCGACAGATTACTGACCTCTGCCCGGTATGCTGCCTCATCTCCGTCTGTGATGAGGCCGACCACAGTGGTGTCATCTGCAAACTTGAAGATGGCAGTGGATGGGATAAACGGAGGAAAAAATATATCGCAATATATATCGTTAGCGCACATGCTTCAGATTATATCGCAATATAGATTTGAGGCCGCATCGTCCAGCCCTGCTTTCTGCCTCACTTTTTTACAGCAGCGGCCCAAAACGATCTCCTAACACATGGATGTTCTGCTTCCTGATCACGTGACGTGTGACGTACACGGATGATGATCGGCTTAAGAGCTGGGATGTTTGTTCTCACAGTGCGGGGGCTCGTCCGACGCCCACACAGCAAAAACATGCAAAGACGACTGTTTCTTTTATAAAAAAAACTTGAGAAACATAAAATGTAAACTTATAATAAATCTTGTTGCATTTATCACACTGTTGGACTCACTTCATACCCGTTGGCTCTCAAGCATTGAGGTTATCTTATTAAAGTAAGCATCAGCGTAGATTTGTGCGACACTGGTGGGGACTTATGAGTGATGATTTACTCTCTCTGAGGTGATGCTATCTTTGCACAAGGCTGCACATTAGTCTGGTTCTTCAGCATGAGGTACTGGAGGTGTGGTGTGAGAGCGCCCCTGCAACTCACAAGCCTGGTCCTCACAACTAAAGTTTGGGAACTGAACAAGCTTCTGGGATGGCAAAATGTCTTCAAGGTTATCAGAAAAGTCCAGCTGTTTGCACCTAAAACTCTCAGAAGATCATGTCCAGGATGAGTGAGAATCTTCGACGTTCTGCAGAAACGGTTCAGTCCAAAGGGAAACTGAAACGAATGCAGCTGCCGTCAGTAACAATCCAACAGATTCAAAACATACCAACAGTTCAAAAAAGCAGAAAAAGAAATAAAATCCAAATCTCACAACTCTGCTGTGTTGTTAAGTATTTTTATTATTATATGTATTTATTTATTCTCCATAAGGGCTCCTGATGGCCAGAACCCGATGTGGTCCACCACAGAGAAAGGCTGGTGACTTTATTATTTTACAGGTCGTTTGCTCAGCCCGACTGTCATGCTCATACAGTCGAGTGTCAGTGTGCGGCTGCGCTGGACTGTTTCTGTGTGTTTTATTTCTGCAGGAAGCCTGAAAGACTCCGACCAGAGTTTGTTTTCTAAAACTTCTCTTAAATCCACTGTGCTGGTGCTTTCTAACCAGCTTCCACATCCTATTTGTGTCGCATAGTGAACTTTACATTATTCTCACGGAGCTGAAGTTTGGTTTTGTCACTGGGCCCGGTGTGTGTGTGTGTGTGTGTGTGTGTGTGGGGGGGGGCACGTAGGGTCTCTATGGCTGTAATTAGGAGCGACAGACAGGTGGTGTGGTCGGCTCAATTAGCAGATTGCGTTTTTTTCCCCACGGAGACCGACTGCGGATTCTTTTTCCGGTCGGCGGACTGGAAATCAAAACTAGGAATCTAAATAATAAAATTTGAAAGTTTCTGTAAAACTCAGTTAGCTCCGGTTCCAAATGATGCTCAGTGCCCAGCCCCATTCTGGACCCCCTTCTTTCTCCTGTGCTCATGAACTCGTCAGCTGACGCTCCTGCTTCGTTTTGACGTGGTCACCTCTGTGAATGAACACACAGCGGATTCCCAGCAACGCAAACCCATTCTCCTCTTGTGTGACGCTTAGCGTGAACCTGCACAGCCCCGTGTTCGGACTTAGAGAGAACATACGGACCTCATCACAACCCTGGGGCAAGCAGCAGTGCAGCTCCTTCACAAAGTAGCGCACCGCTACACACATGTAAGCACCGTGGGTGACCACTAAAGCGTGGAGCGGGATGTCCTTGACGCCATCATCTGCTCTCCCCTCGACAGGAGACGACGGCGGTGAGACACTTAAGGAATCGACAGTCTGGCTCTTGGTGACCCAGTGCTCGGCCCCGATTTGCTGAAGCATTTTCTCCAAAAACATTTTGACCCGTTCCTTCACCTGATCAAAACACAGACCGCTTCACTTTAGGCACAAACATTTCCAACACAGTAAAATAATGCACTAGTACATGTGAGCACAAGGACAGGAATCCTCTTTCTCACTGAGACTGGGACGTCTGCTGCTTCCATCACATCAACACAGATGTTGGACATCTTCTGGGTTTGGACCAAAGTTCACTTCAGGAATCTAATGAATGAAGTCTGATGAAGCAGACACCGTACCCCTCCCCGCATGTTCCTCCCACACAACCTTCAGGCAGAAACAAAGCTTAAAGGAAACTTTTGACTTTGAGTTATAAACGAACTTCCTGCAGCTGACTGACAGGAGAGGAACATTTACTTTATCCATCCAATTAAAAACAAGCAGTTTGAACACAACAAAAAACATATATCAACATTAAAATTTGAAACATGTGAGTGTATCTGTTTGCTGCCACCCAGTGGTGACCAGTACTCATTACATCTTCATCAAAAATGTGCACTCATCAGATTTACATGTAAAATAAATATATGACTATAAAATACTGAAAAATAACTATTTGGCTCAATCAAAGTCTGAAGTAGAAATCAAAAATAAAGTAGAACATTTACATTATTGTCACAGTGAGTAAAAACTAACCTCATTTGAAATTTGAGTTCAAGATACTATGTTTTAGTTTGTTGCATCAGATAATTTACAATAATGTTTTTTTCTAATTGTCTCTCTTCCGTGGTTCACTTTTATTTATTCCTATGGTTTTAGGATTTATCATTTATTTAATGTTTTGCTTTAGGATGCAGGAAAATATCGATATGGCAACATATCACCATATTTTTCTGTGATATTATATCGATATTCAAAAGCCGTGAATTGAATTTTTGGAAGAATTTACATGCAAACGTTTGTGTATATTCTTTGCTTTTGGTGCAATTCAAACACTATCCGCTGGTTGGCAGCAGTGAGTAATGGGTTTTGTTTCTGCCATTGAAATGTAAATCCCTCTATTATGGTTCAGATACCTCATGTTAAACATGTTACGCTTCAGTTTGGACTGTTCATTGAATTTTCCTACAATAATATCAGTCTAAAATAAATCTCTAATACCATCTGGCTGAATGTACCTCAATGTATCATGATTCATGGTATCGTCTCCCCGTATCGTGATACGTATCGTATCGCCAGGATTTCGCCAATACACATTCCTATTTTGCATGAAGAACCTTTTAGTTCAAATGTGAAAATGATACGAGGTAATCGAAAATAACAGTGCTTAATTAATTTTGACGCCTACAAAATAACATTTTCTAAACAAATCTGATCATAATTGAAGTTTTTTGTTCAGCGAAAAAAGAGAAACACACCAACCCATAATGAGAAATAAAACTCTAATCTGGCCTTTTCTAGACACGGTGGATTTTTACATTAATATTAAATCTGTGTAAATTGAAAATGGTGAGTTAATAAATATCTGATTGCAGAACAACATTCTGGTTTATTTGGGAGATAATCCTAAACGTATGAGTGAGAATGAACTCCCACCTGCTCCTGAGACTCCCCTTCTGGGGGGGTGAAGTCTGGAAACGACTCACCCGCTGCCCTGGCCATCTCTTTGACGTCTTCAACCCGGCCCCCCTCAGCGATCCCAAAGCTCTACAAAAGCAAATGCAAAGATGTTAAATTGGTCATTTCAAGTGCTTTATGAAACCATTTCACTACGAAGAATAACACAATCGCCACACACCTTTTCTTTAAGTAGAGGGTCACACACCATCTGCAGACCCAAACAGCTCCTGTTGAGCTGAACGATCCTTTCAGCTGTCTGGAAACAAGAAGGATTTTTTCTGCTGAAGCTAAAGTTTTGACTCAGCATGAACGTAACTGGGTTTCAAACAAAAATTAAACAGGATACCTCAATTTAACATCCATTTAACATTCCGTTCTGGGGGATCCTGCAGCTTCTCACCTGTCGTGCTCGCAGCATATCGCTGACAAACACGTGGCTAAACTTGACGTCTTTCAGGTAAAACCCTGCAGCTTCGGCCTGCTGCAGCCCGGTCTCAGACAAGGCTGAGTCGATTGCCTGGCCTGCATGGATGGAGGTAGAGGAAAAACAATGAAGCACAAAATGCAACAAAAACCGATGAGAGTGACTAAATGTTTAATACTGTGACTAATTCCAACAACCTTGCAACAGGCCGTCTTTGTTGTAAGTTGTTTCCCCGCTGTGGGAGAGATGTCAGATGTTTACAGTCTGCTGCTTGGCTGTCACACGTTAGATTTCACACTTAAACATCGTGCAGGTGAGAAAATGAAAGAGTGGGTAAATATCAAAGTGAAATTACAGAAACTAACCAGCAGTTTAGGTAACAGTGATTTTTTTAATCAGTAAAAAACTGTTTTGTTTATAAAAGGCAGCAGCACGGCTCATCGCTGCAGCCTCGTAGACACAAACCCTGGTTCTAGCAACTTCACTGCTTTAATAACGGTAACACAACATGGATAAAAAAGGGCTAAACTACTGAAATAAGTTTGGTTTAAAAAGCGAAAGCACAGCCAGCTCTGTCCTAGGATTCCCCTTGATCCAGCAGGAAGTGGCAGACAGGACTGTAGAAAAATAACATCATTGGTAGTCAGTGTCTTCCCCCTCGTGAAGCTTCAGTCCGCTGCTTCCAACGTGCATAAAGGTCATGAAACACGGACAAAGGGCAAAATAAAGCAGCTAGCAGTTTAGTGCTGCCATCTGGTGGTAATAGTGGTGCATCACAGCTAATCCACAACATTTCTATCACACATAAATTTAGGATTAATAAAATCAGGATAATGGACATAAATCGTGGTTTCTAGTACATTTCTTCACATAAAACGTTATTTAAAGCTTAAATGAAGTGATGTGGTTTTAACACAACACGGATAAAATCCAAATTCAAATATGTTTTAAAAGCTAGTGCGGCTTGGTGCTGCCATCTGGTGGCCATTAGGGTGCACTGCAGCTTCCCACATCATCACGTATCAACTTGGAAAAAAAATGCTGGACATAAAGCATGGTTCCTACCAGCAGCTTTCATAATAACAATTATCCAGGACGGAACATTCATCGTGTGTTAATTAAACACGGACAAAGAACAAAATAAGCAATCATAAGTCTGATTCCAAAGCTAGTACCGTTTATGGCTTACTTCTGGTGGCAATTATGGTTCATTGCAGCTTCCCAAACTACACAGGACTGATTTCCATCAAATATTAAATAAAAAAATGTTTAAGTGACTTGGTGCAACCTAAACAGGGATAGGGGAAAAAATAAAAACTGAAATATGTTTGTTTTTTTAAGGCTAGCACAGCTAGTCCTGCCCTTTTGTGGTGATTATGATGCATTGCAGCTTCCCACATTACAAGAGTGATTTCAGTCATACTTTAGTTTAAATACTAACCAACCTTGGAGTAAAAATGGACCAGGCTCTGAAGATGGATGCCCAGGTCAATAACAGTTAAATCATGTTTTTACCAACTAAGACACATCTCGAAACTAAAGCACATCCTGAGTGTCCGTCTTCTGAAATCGGTGGTCCACACTTTTATCACCTCAAGGCTGGATTACTCTAACTCCTGCTTATACGGCATCAGTAAAGCAGCTCTTTCTAGACTTCAGCTGGTCCAGAATTCAGCAGCTAGGTTGCTGACTGGAGCTGACAGAAGACAACACATTTCTCCAATTCTGAAATCTCTCCACTGGTTGCCTGTGCAGTTCAGGATAAATTTCAAAATTATGCTTCTCCCTTACAAATCCTTGAACCATCAAGCTCCTCCATATCTGTGTAAACTTGTCCATTACTACAACCCGCCGCGTGCTCTCAGGTCTGAAGATAAGCTCCTCCTAGCTGTTCCGAATGCACGTTTAAAAAGCCGTGGAGAAAGGGCTTTCTCTGTCTGTGCACCGACGCTGTGGAACACATTACCACTGCTAGTGAGGCAAGCACCAACAGCTAGCATTTTTAAATCACGCCTGAAAACTCACTACTTCAACCTAGCTTATACAACATAATTATGAACCTCACTGACATCTGCATTGTTCAAAAATGGAATTCACAATATCAACTTCCGTACTATTGGAGTTCTTTTTTAAAATGTTTTTCTTATTTTTTATTCTCCCTGTGTTTTATTAATTTTTAACTGTTAGTTCTAGGAATTTCGTTGTTTTTCCTTTTTATCTTTTGGTTGTAATGCCTTGTTGAATGCGCTTTATAAATAAAATGGTATGGTATGGTATGTGTCATGAAAACATGAACAAAATATCATACCTTAGTATGTGTCCTGAAAACACGATAAAAACATCACACATTAGTATGTGTCATGAAAACATGATAAAAACATCACACATTAGAATGTGTCATGAAAACATGATAAAAACATCACACATTAGTATGTGTCATGAAAACATGATAAAAACATCATACATTAGTATGTGTCATGAAAACATGATAAAAACATCACACATTAGTATGTGTCATGAAAACATGATAAAAACATCATACATTAGTATGTGTCATGAAAACATGATAAAAACATCACACATTAGTATGTGTCATGAAAACATGATAAAAATATCATACATTAGTATGTGTCATGAAAACATGATAAAAACATCATACATTAGTATGTGTCATGAAAACATGATAAAAACATCATACATTAGTATGTGTCATGAAAACATGATAAAAATATCATACATTAGTATGTGTCATGAAAACATGATAAAAATATCATACATTAGTATGTGTCATGAAAACATGATAAAAATATCATACATTAGTATGTGTCATGAAAACATGATAAAAATATTATACATTAGTATGTGTCATGAAAACATGATAAAACATCATACATTAGAATGTGTCATGAAAACATGATAAAAACATCATACATTAGAATGTGTCATGAAAACATGATAAAAATATCATACATTAGTATGTGTCATGAAAACATGATAAAAACATCATACATTAGAATGTGTCATGAAAATATTATAAAAATATCATACATTAGTATGTGTCATGAAAACATGATAAAATATCATACATTAGTATGTGTCATGAAAACATGATAAAAACATCATACATTAGTATGTGTCATGAAAACATGATAAAAATATTATACATTAGTATGTGTCATGAAAACATGATAAAAACATCATACATTAGAATGTGTCATGAAAACATGATAAAAATATCATACATTAGTATGTGTCATGAAAACATGATAAAATATCATACATTAGTATGTGTCATGAAAACATGATAAAAATATCATACATTAGTATGTGTCATGAAAACATGATAAAAATATCATACATTAGTATGTGTCATGAAAACATGATAAAAATATCATACATTAGTATGTGTCATGAAAACATGATAAAAATATTATACATTAGTATGTGTCATGAAAACATGATAAAACATCATACATTAGAATGTGTCATGAAAACATGATAAAAACATCATACATTAGAATGTGTCATGAAAACATGATAAAAATATCATACATTAGTATGTGTCATGAAAACATGATAAAAACATCATACATTAGAATGTGTCATGAAAACATGATAAAAATATCATACATTAGTATGTGTCATGAAAACATGATAAAAACATCACACATTATTATTTGTCATGAAAACATGATAAAAATATCATACATTAGTATGTGTCATGAAAACATGATAAAAATATCATACATTAGAATGTGTCATGAAAACATGATAAAAACATCATACATTAGTATGTGTCATGAAAACATGATAAAAATATCATACATTAGTATGTGTCATGAAAACATGATTAAAACATCATACATTAGTATGTGTCATGAAAACATGATAAAAACATCATACTTTAGTATGTGTCATGAAAACATGATAAAAACATCATACATTAGTATGTGTCATGAAAACATGATAAAAATATCATACATTAGAATGTGTCATGAAAACATGATAAAAATATCATACATTAGTATGTGTCATGAAAACATGATAAAAACATCATACATTAGAATGTGTCATGAAAACATGATAAAAACATCATACATTAGAATGTGTAATGAAAACATGATAAAAATATAATACATTAGTATGTGTCATGAAAACATGATAAAAATATCATACATTAGTATGTGTCATGAAAACATGATAAAAACATCATACATTAGAATGTGTCATGAAAACATGATAAAAATATCATACATTAGTATGTGTCATGAAAACATGATAAAAATATCATACATTAGAATGTGTCATGAAAACATGATAAAAACATCATACATTAGTATGTGTCATGAAAACATGATAAAAACATCATACATTAGTTTTGTGTCATGAAAACATGATAAAAACATCATACATTATTATGTGTCATGAAAACATGATAAAAATATCATACATTAGTATGTGTCATGAAAACATGATAAAAACATCATACATTAGAATGTGTCATGAAAACATGATAAAAACATCATACATTAGTATATGTCATGAAAACATGATAAAAATATCATACATTAGTATGTGTCATGAAAACATGATTAAAACATCATACATTAGTATGTGTCATGAAAACATGATAAAAATATCATACATTAGTATGTGTCATGAAAACATGATAAAAACATCATACATTAGTATGTGTCATGAAAACATGATAAAAACATCATACATTAGTATGTGTCATGAAAACATGATAAAAATATCATACATTAGAATGTGTCATGAAAACATGATAAAAATATCATACATTAGTATGTGTCATGAAAACATGATAAAAACATCATACATTAGAATGTGTCATGAAAACATGATAAAAACATCATACATTAGAATGTGTCATGAAAATATTATCAAAATATCATACATTAGTATGTGTCATGAAAACATGATAAAAACATCATACATTAGAATGTGTCATGAAAACATGATAAATACATCATACATTAGTATGTGTCATGAAAACATGATAAAAATATCATACATTAGTATGTGTCATGAAAACATGATAAAAATATCATACATTAGTATGTGTCATGAAAACATGATAAAAATATCATACATTAGTATGTGTCATGAAAACATGATAAAAACACCATACATTAGAATGTGTCATGAAAACATGATAAAAATATCATACATTAGTATGTGTCATGAAAACATGATAAAAACATCATACATTAG